TCATGGAATGCCAGTTTAATAGGACAAAGTATTCTTGCATTGAGGGAGTACTTGAGTGGAGGCCCAATGTCCATCTACCTTAATACTAAACCTATAAGTATATTTGCATATAGATCTATTTTCCCATCCTCATATATAAATATATTTACATATGTGCGTGCCTGTATTTAGACCTCTATAAATGTCCTTTGCCTCCTTGTTCTTTCCTCTTATTTCCTTTTACTTTCCTCTTGTCCCACTGTCATGCTCAGCTTTCTTTTGGGTTTCAGTAATTCCTCTCGGAATTACATTACCTTTGATCAAGCCTTGCCAGGCCTCCTACACTCTCCTCACCACCTATTTGGATCACTTGGTGTTCCCTTGTCTCTAGGTTTGTTAACACCACTTCCTTTCCCTCCACCTCCCTCTCTCCCATGTCCCCCAGGAAGTATCAGTCCTGTTGTTTTCTCCAGATTGTTCATCCAACCTATCTTATTTAGACTGACCTGTGGAGAGAATAACATACACAAAAACAAGACAGCAAAACAAAGCAATGAAAGATAACAAAATGGCAACGAAAAAGAAAACAATGACAAAAAAGAAAAGCCTGTAGATAGTTCAAGGACTGTTTGTCGGCCTTTAGGAGTGTTTTCCGGTGGAGTCTGATGGAGTATCACGCCCTGGCCCCATAGTCTATTTTTGATGTTCCCTGGGGTCTTCCTTGCTCTGTTCCCCTTGTTGTTCTGTTGCACACCCTTACTGTTTTGCCTCGGAGTGGTGGGGTCAGATTGGGGGCAATTCCCACATTGTGTCTTCAGTGTTGTCCTCTGTAGGGCTCTAAGTCAGTGAGGGATCATTTTTTTCTTTCTTTTTTTTTAAAAACATTTTATTAGGGGCTCATACAACTGTTATCACAGTCCATACACACATCAATTGTGTAAAGCACATTTGTACATCATTCTCCATTTTTTTCTTTTTTAATAAAGTTTTGTCAGTACGCAATCCAAATACACATTTCAATAGTTCCATCATACCAAGAAGAGTTGTACAATCATCACCACAATCAATTTTAGAACATTTTCTTCTTTCTTGTACTCCCTGTTATTAGTTCCCTGTTTTTTCCCAACCCCACTTGAAAGCCCCAGTGATCCTGTCTCTAGATTCACCCATCCTGGATTTCATATACTGAGAAACATAACAAAGGGTCAACAGAGCTAACCACAATAACAAAACAGAAAAATCCCAGTTGAACGGAAAACAAAATACTGAGAAGTAGAACTAGAACTTTAAAATGGGTCAAAGGGAGATGAGTTGATAAGGTGTTAGATTTTAAGTGAACTTCATCTGCCATAATCTACTTCCCAATACACTTGATACAACAAGGCTATTCACTTCCCTTGTCTTTGTTCAGAGAGATTCACTTGAGGCTTAATCCATGTGGATTCCCCCCTCACTTTATTTCCTCCCCCTTCACTTTAAAAAATATGTAAACAACACAGCTTTTAAATGGGTTGGAAGGAGGCTAAAATCCGACTTTACATTTTAGCCCAGCCTTATCTACTATAATCATCTCTCCAATACTCTGGTAGCGAGGATATTCCCATCCCTCAACTGGTCAGAGGGAAATCACTAGACACTTGATCCATCTCTTTGTGGATCCTGTAAGTGGGTTTTGGGCTTCCACTGTCATCCATAGCCTTCTGCAAACCAAGGGCTCACCATAGATAGCTCTGATGCCATTCCCTTCTTCAGATTTGCATCATATTATTTATAATCCCTGGAGCGTGCAGGCTGGTGTGCTGCTTCTTTGCCCTACATCTTCCGCAGAGTTTTTATCTGAACTGTTTAGAAGTACTTTACTCAGTACTCCTTGTCCAGACTGTGAAATCCTGGTGGTGTAGTGGATTAAGCGCCAGGTTGCTAATTGCAAGCTCAGCAGTTCAAACCCACCAGCCACTGTAATAAAACTACGAGGCAATCTTCCACAGAGATTTATAGCCTGGAAAGCCCTATTGAGTAGTTCTCTGTTCTATATGGTAACCGAATCAGAACCCCACAGTGATGGGATTTCTTTTGTAGATTTCTAAAGTGTACCTTTTTACATGCAATTGTTTATTGATTTAGATAAAGTGATTAGAAGATACAGCAGATGAGTTTTGTTTTTTTAAGGGGAAAAAAGTCCTTTGTAGCATAGTAAAAGACTAAATATGGGGAACAGGAAGGTAAAACAAATAACCACAGGTAAGTAATATGTAATAAGACCATGTATGTATCTCATTTTTTACAAAACCCCAAAGCAAACTTCCTCCAAGCAGTAGATGCCAACGAATAGCGAGTCTATAGGACAGAGTAGAACCACCCCGTGGGTTTCTGAGACTGTAACTCGTTTCTGGGTAGAAAGCCCTGTCTTCTAGGGCTGGTGGTTTAGAACTGCTGACCTGCAGTTAGCAGCCCAAAGTGTTACCACTATGCCACCAGGGTTTTTAATTTTTTTACAAGAAGCTTAGTAATCCAAAGGGGCAGTTCTACCCTGTTGCCTAGGATTGCTGTGCGTCAGAACAGACCAAATGGCAAATGAGTTTGTTTGGAATAGAAGAGATTCCTAAATATATTGTGAACTAAAGTAAATATTAATTGAACTTTAAAATAAATAAACATAACCAAAAAACAACAAACAAACCAGCAGCTAGTAGATATTTAACATGAGAGGCCAAACCGAATGCTAAGAAAGAGAATAGGAAGGCCAGAAATATACGATTCTTTGTGTGGCCAAATGCCTGCAAAAATAATGCAACGAAAAAGTCACCTTTTAAGTAATATACATGATGCACATTAATAGGGGACGTTTTGTGCTTCTCAGCTGTTTTTCACTGAGACAGGGAATGTCCCACGCCTGAGCTGAGCTTGTGCCATCTGTCCCCCGGAGACCATCCAGAGCCCTGTGTGATCTCACATGGAGCATAACCCACTTGCTTGTGGAAGGTGGTTGATTCTACCCGGTGGGTTAAGACAAGCTTTGAACAATTTGCCATTATCAGGCAAACCCAAGCATGTTTCCTCCGTACGGCTAAATTAACAGTTTATTAAACATTTCAGACCAACGGAGTTTTGTCAGTGAGTTGTGATACTTAAGCTTTTTTATTGCAATCAGAAAAAAAAACAACAAGAACTGCTGTCGTTGCATTTCGACTCACAGTGACCCTTATAGGACAAGGTAAAGTTCCTCTGCGGCTTTTCGAGACTGTAAGTCTTTTCTGGAGCAGAAAGCCCATTATTTTAGCCAGAGGGAATGGTGGTTTCGAACTGTCAGGCAACCCAACTGGTGGTACAGCCAGTGCTGTCCTTGCGTCATCTGTCCACTAGGGGGGAGGAACGAGTTCAGCCGAAGCCAGGGTTCCGCGTTCGTCCGTAACTTAGGGCAACTCTGCGCCTCCGGATGTGACGTCAGCGTGCCGGACCCTCCCGTTCTTCCGGCTCCGCGGAACTTCCGCGCTCCGGGGATTCCGTAGCTGTGTACGTGGAAGAAGCCCGCGCACGCGCAGTCGGGCCCTCCGCCTCAGCGGTGCGGGAAGAGCTCCGGTTACCATCCCGGCCGGGGGAGTCGGTTCGGGCCATGGCTGCCCGCTGACAGAGCCCGACGGGTGGAGAAGGAGGCGAGGCCGCCCTCGGCACCCTTCCCGGCCTCGCCTTCTCCGTCGGAGCTGCCACTGCCCCCGTCGGCCAAGCCGGGGAGATGAGTTGGTTCAACGCCTCCCAGCTCTCCAGCTTCGCCAAGCAGGCTCTGTCCCAGGCCCAGAAGTCCATCGACAGGGTCCTGGACATCCAGGAAGAAGAGCCGAGCGCCTGGGCCGAGACCATCCCTTACGGAGAGCCGGGTAAACGGGAGGAGCGGGAACAGGGCTCCTGCGGCTTCCCTTCCGAGGCAGACAGGTTGAGGGCTGGAGAGGGGAGCCTTCCTCGCCCAGGTTTCCGAGCAGGTCCGTCCTCCCGGCCCGTTTCCTTCCCCGACGCTTCTTGGAACGGCAGGCCGGCCTCTGCTTTTTCCTGGACAAACGTTCAACCCCGGG